TTTGTTTTGATTTTAAAATATACTTTTTTCGGAAGAAAATATCAACTTAAAAATATTGCTCACTTTCGCGCAGTCCGTGTTATGTTATGAAACCGTAAATGCTTTATTGTTGCTCCTCGAGTCACAATTTCGAAACAATCTTTGAAAACTAATACTTCTTAATTAATTACTAAAATATTGTCGCTATTTTTAAAAATTAAATCCAATTTTTACGATCCAATACGAGTCTCACACCATTCTGCTGTTGACCGATACCAGAGTGTTTTTTATTTAAAAACTAAAAATCGAAATCGGAAAAATAGATTAATATAAAAAAATTATACACTAATTTGATTTACTGAGTCCCGCCAGAACGGCGGTCCTCACATTCGGGCTCTAGGAATTTAACCGGACATAATTGACACAAAGCTATTATTATTATTATTATTATTATTATTATTATTATTATTATTATTATTATTATTATTATTATTATTATTATTATTATGCATGCAAAATGGAAATATGAACATGATATTTCTAATGAATACAAGTAGTAATAACAAATAACAATGATATATATATATATATATATATATATATATATATATATATATATATATATATATATATATATATATATATATATATATATATATATATATATATATATATATATATATATATATATATATATATATATATATATATATATATATATATATATATATATATATATATATATATATATATATATATATATATATATATATATATATATATATATATATATATATATATATATATATATATATATATATATATATATATATATATATATATATATATATATATATATATATATATATATATATATATATATATATATATATACATATATATATATATATATATATATATATACATATATATATATATATATATACATATATATATATATATATATATATATATATATATAGATATATATATATATATATATATATACATATATATATAGATATATATATATATATATATATATATATATATATATATATATATATATATATATATATATATATATATATACATATATATATATATATATATATATGTATATATACATATATATATATATATATATATATATATATATATATATATATATATATATATATATATATATATATATATATATATATATATATATATATATATATATATATATATATATATATATATATATATATATATATATATATATATATATATATATATATATATATATATATATATATATATATATATATATATATATATATATATATATATATATATATATACATATATATATATATATATATATATATATATATATATATATATATATATATATATATATATAGAGAGAGAGAGAGAGAGAGAGAGAGAGAGAGAGAGAGAGAGAGAGAGAGAGAGAGAGAGAGAGAGAGAGAGAGAGCATACTCGCAAGTGAAGATGAAATATGCGAATTAGAGACAAAACAGTACCAATTAGAATTGATAAAATAAATGAAAATAACAATTGCAATATTAAGAGTTAAAATAAACAAGTGCAGAAAATTAAAGAAAGTAAATTGTTTATGGAAAATAACGCAGTGCGGAAAAATAAATCAGAAAAGTTGAACGGAAATGGCGGCAAGATTAAGTTACTAACAATCCAAGTACAAGTCTGAATTTGCAAAATAATGGTGTACCAATTGTCCGATGTGAACAATTTGATACTTTTACATTGTGAATTTTATGTCTACTTTAACTCTAAAAGCTTGGACATCAAAATCCTAAAAACTTAACTTATATATAGTGTTGTAATTGCTGAAGGGTCGCATAATTCGTGTGGAAGTTGGTTCAGAAAAAGGTGTGGGAGTAGTGGAAAACTCAGTCATGCGACTGCTAAAAATTTGCGCACGAAGTCTATAGCATTTTCCATGAGTTCATTGTGGGTGACGTGGCAAGTGAGGGGGTCATGGCGAGCGTCATGCCCCTATAACGAACATCACAACTGAAAACGCTCACTTTTTGAAGATTTCATGTTGTTGTGTCTTTTTCTCCACTTTTTGGCTAATTTGTCAACTCCTACATGGGAAGTATCTGCAACACAAACAAAACACCATCACAACACTACATATAAACATAAAATGGATAAAAATGCATGTGAATTGAGTCGAAAAATGCTATAGATTTTAGTGTTATCAATAATCTCCATCATCTCTACCCAAGCTAATACATTCTAAATCAAGTCAAGTCAAAGTCAAAAACAAAACTTAACAACAATCTCCTTTATAAGAAAATTTGGTGGAGTCACGGGCCAAAATACCAAGTTTTGTGGTTTTGTGTGGTGTGTAGGTAAATGTTTTCTAAAGGTTTTAATGATGACAAATGTATAAGAAAAAACAAATCACAAGCATCATCAGTCAAGAAACAAACACAAGACAAAACGTTTAAAGTTCTAGTTGAAAGAGCTAAATAAAATTAAGTCAAATAATTGAAAGGAACTGAAATTGTGAAAACTCGTCTGATCTTATGCTCAATGTTTTATCTTGTAGTACTATGGTGATGCATAAACACCAAAAGTATTTCAAGCTCTTCATCTTTTTTTTTTAAATTCTTAAGAACTAATTCGGAAAAATACTTACACGATTAAGAAACTTTCTAATCAATTAGGAAAGGAAAAATCAAATGTATAATCAAGTCCCTTCATCTAATCGATTAAAGAAAGAGTTATAACGCCTTGTAATCAATTAGGTAGCTGTGTTGATTGATTAAGTGACCTCACAAATTAAGTTTTTATTTTCTAACTTAACCTAATCGATTAGGAAGTGACGAGACCCATATATTTTTTGCATTTTTAAGCCATTTTTTTTTATATAAAGAGTGATTTCCTCACTTTAAAACAAACCAAATTTCTAAATTATTAACTCTCTTATCTCACTCATTCTCCTTATTTTATAAATTTTATTCACTATAAATTATTTTAGTGTTGAGAGAGTTAAAAGATTCATCTAATAGTTGTGTTTTGCTATTATGTTGAATTTGACTACTTAAGAGATTTGTTCTCTTTTAATCTTGTAATATATTTTTAAGTTGCAAGATAAACCTTTAAAATTCTTAATGTAATATTGTTGGCTTAAATATGTGTAAAATTTTAGAGGTGGCAATAGGATCCATTAAGAAAAAATTCATTCAATCCATCCACCACATAAAAAATAAGTTAATGGATTGGATTAAATCCATCCATTTATATGCATTGATGAATTCAATCCATCCAACATATTTTAAGAATCCAATGGATTATTTTTATTTTTGTTATATTATTTTTTTAAAAATAATTAAAAATAAATTTTTTAAAATCTAATTAAAAATAAATTTTTTAAAAGAAAAAATTTGTTTTTTTTTCAATAAAAAAATTGTAATTGTTTTATAAAAAAAAAGATCGATTTTTTTCTGAAAAAAAAGATTTTTTTAAAAAAAGAATTCATTTTTTTTCCAAAAAAAATTGGTTTTTTTTATGTGAAAAATCAATTTTTTTTCCAAAATAAAAAACGGATTTGTTTTTCGAAAAAAAGTCGATTTTTAAAGAAAAAAAAATTTCTCGAAAAAAAGACCGACTTTTTTAAAATACAAAAAACCGACTTCATAATTTTTTTTTAAATACAAAAAATGAATTTTTCAAAAATAAAATAAAATCGAATTTTAAAAATAAAAAAAAAAGTTGGATGGATGGATATTCGTCCATTAAAAATATGTTAATTGATGGATTGGATTGGATAATTTTAAGAAAATTTTAGTGGATTGTTAATGGACTAATGGATTGTTTTAATCCATCCATTAACAATTCAATCCACATCCATTCAATCTATCCATTTTTATAAAATTTCAAGTTGTTGGTGTACAAAAGTTTAAGTTGTGGTTCTCGAGAGGAACTCATAGGAACTAGAGTAGGATGCATGATTTAAGATCAAATATTTAAGATCGAATTAAAATAATATCTGGTGTGATCTCTTTTATCTTATCAGTTTATTTTCTTATTCTGATATTTATCTTTTTCGTTGTTTACTCTTTGGTTTTTCTTCATGTCCGACAATACAACGTGACACTTAATTTAGAGAAGTACATTTTTCAGAGATACAACATGACACTTAATTTAGAAAAGTACATTTTTCAGTCAAAGGTGATAAATTCTTAGGATTCTAATTCTACCTCATATAAACGAGATTTGAAGCTAATGAAGACAAGTGTGACGTGATCATCGAGATAGAAACTTCTTTCAGAGGAAAGGATAATGAAATTGAATGTGGTGATCACCACTCTCAACATGTTCATCTCAATACATGTTTAGCATGCACTTCCATAAACGGTGAGTGTCGACCTTGTTAAAGAGGGTCTCAAAACTCTACTAAAAAAATTGAAAAGATTGCTCTTTCTGGCTTCAAGTTGTGGAATTGATTTTGAAATGTCCTTATGGTAAGCTGATTTAAATCACCATGCATAAATTTTCAATACATTAATCAAATTAACATCACCTATATTAGAGACGAAGGGATATTCATCATCTAAGAAAATGTATTTAATATGCTAAGATGGTGGCAGTCATCTCAATGTGCTCAACAACCAATAACGGATTGCTTCTAAGAAATACTTGATCAAAATCTAGTTTTTTTTTATGATTAGAAAAATAGCATGTTGGCCATTTTATACAGAGACTCGCATTAAAGAGGTTTCCCAATAGGATGTAAGCTAAACATATAAGCAAAGAAAGAGATAAACAAAAATAAATTGACAATGGATTTTTTGCCATCTTCAGAATGCATTAATAATTCATCCGCAGCTATATACAGTATTGAGAACTATGAGCAGGCCATTGAGTCTATATAACAAGGGTTCAACAATGTAAACATAAAACACAACCTGCTATTTAGATTAAACCTTTATGAAGTCTCAAAATTGGGTTTATCAAGAAAATGTAACAGCCAAAGGCAACTATTCCATCGGCTTATTGCTTACTGTTGATGAAGACAGGAATTTCTCACAGTTCTTGGCTCCAACTTGTGTAAACTCTTTCACAAGCATATCCACATATGCAGCTAAAGAATTCTTAAACTCCTTTGAGCAGCTCTTGTCGCCCTGATCAACATCCTGAACTCCACCTTTCACCAAACAACCAACTTGAGCACCATCCTTGTATGCTTTACAAGCCACTAAAATATCCTTACCTCGTCTGCAGAAGTGCCCCTTAACAAAGTCCTCAAAACTCTGAAAAACTCAAAATAACCTAAATAGTCAATTTTGTATTCCAAAAGTTACAAGTTACAAGACAGTAGTATACATAAATAAATAAACAAAATAAACTTATCACTTATTATATAACCTGGCTTACCAAAAAATCATAACAGCGGTGAATAAATGTTAGTGTATAGTTAGAGAAACCTAATGTGATAAATTGAGGGGAAGATAGCCAAGAGTGTTTAAGTTACCATCACATATCTCCTTCCCAATATGCTTGTGTCTGCTATTTCGTGCCCATTCCAAAAACTATACAGGAAATACTTTCTCACCTAGAATGGCGTCAGACTATGATTGATGAGATGACAACTCTAGAATTAAACCAGACTTGGACTCGTGTCCCCTCACCTACAGAGAAATCTATTGTTGGTTGTCATAGGACCAGATGGTCAGATAGATCTACACCTATGAATCCAAATACCAGGCACAAGTGGTTGATGTCATGAAATTTGACTTGATGCCTTTCTCATTGCCTTTCATACTATATATAATAGTGTCGGTAATTACAACTCATAATAACTAATTACAAATTACAGCTCATAATAACTAATTACAATTCATAATGACTAATTTCCTATTCTATGAATATAAATTATTCACAATAACTGCAAAGATTATTTCCTGATTAACATCCCCCTCAAATTGATGCGGCGGGTCAAGGAGCATCAATTTGCTAACAAGAAACTGATGTCTTGGGCATGGAACAGCCTTGGTAAGAATATCTGCAACCTGCAACTAAGTCCTGACATGAGGAAGTGATATTATTCGATCATCATAGGCGTCACGTATTGAATGACAATCAACTTCGATATGTTTGATGCGTTCATGAAAAACAGGATTTGCAACAATTTGAATGATACTTGTATAGTCAGCATAAAGTGAAGTTGACTCTGTTTGGGGAAATCCAAATTCAGCCAAAAGACCACGAAGCCAAAGTATTTCTGAACAAGCAGCAGACGTGGCACAATACTCTGATTCAGTAGAAGATTTAGAAAATTTTGCTTGCTTCTTACTTTTTCAAGAGATCAATGAAGAACCAAGAAACATATACCAACCAGTAACAGATCGACGAGTATCAGGACACCCTGCCCAATCAGCATCATTATAAGCACTCAACTGAAGAGAAATTCCAACGGAAAAGAATAATTCGCGGTGAGAGGTTTCCTTTAAGTAGCGAATTATACGACGAACTGCAGCCAAGTGAAGATGGCAAGGAGAATGCATGAATTGACTTGTTGAACAGCAAAAGATATGTCAGGGCGAGTAATAGTCAAGTAGTTGAGGCTACCCACAAGTTGTCGATACAATAAAGGATCAGGCAACAGATCCCCATCATCACGATGATATTTAACATTAACCTCAAGAGAAGTATCTACCGAATTAGCCGATTCGAGACCGGCCATAGAAATCAAATTTGTAGCATACTTGTGTTGATGGAGAAAGATGCCTTTGGATGTAGAATGAACCTCAAGACCAAAAAAATAATGTAGATTACCCAGATCTTTCATATGAAATGAGGCATGTAATTGTTGCTTAAGTCGCTGAATGGAAGCATGATCCGAACCAGTAATAATCATATCATCAACATACAAAAGAAGCAGAACAATACCCACAGATGTGCTATGAATAAATAAAGATGAATCATACTGACTCTGAGTAAAGGAGAATCCAAGTATAGTGGAGCGGAATTTCTCATACGATGCTCTAGGCGCCTGTTTCAAACCATATAAGGAGCGTTTGAGCTTACACACGCCTTTAGATGAAGAGAATAAGCCTTGAGGTGGAGTCATATAAATATCTTCTGTCAGGTCACCATGAAGAAAAGCATTCTTCACATCCATTTGATGAAGAGTCCACCGACGAGAAGCAGCTATAGACATGATCGTGCGGACAATTGTCATTTTGACAACCGGTGCAAACATCTCATCGTAATCAATTCCATATTCCTGCTTGTTTCCTAACGCAACCAAGCGAGCCTTGTAACGGTTGAGGGACCCATTATAATTCAATTTTACAGAATACACCCATTTGCAACCTATAGGTTTTACATCTGGAGGACAAGTGACAATATTCCATGCGAAATTCTCTTGAAGAGCTTGGAGCTCTTCATTCATTGCACATCTTTAACAGCCTGTGAGTAACAAGTAGGAATATATATGCTAGAGAGTGTGGCAGCCAGAGAAGTATGTGAGGAATCATACCTGTCTGGTGAATATCTATCTGGTGCGCGAGATATTCGACCAGAACGTCGTGGTTCAACCGGTATAGGATCAGGTGGCAGTTCAGCATCGGGAAGGGGTGTGAGAACCTGCTTTCTGTGTTTTCTGACATATACATGACCTGGTTTATAACGTTCTATAGATTGAGGCATAATAGAAAACTTAGGAAGAGTAACAATATCATTAATGGTAGGAGAAACACAGGGAAACATAAACTGATTATCAAAAAATGTCGCATTTCTAGAAATGCGAAAACGATGGTTAAAAACATCATAACACACAAATCCCTTATGAGAGTGACTATATCCCATAAATGCACATTGAACGGATTGTGCTCCAAGCTTATGCCTTTCAAAAGGAGGTAAGTGAACAAAACACACACCCAAAAGTATGTAAAGCACTATAATCAGGATGAAATTTAAATAGACGAAAGAAAGAAGAATCAAGATCAATAACCGTAGAAGGAATACGATTGATCAAGAAGACAGCCGTGGAAAGAGCCTCCACCCAAAATCGGGAAGGTACAGAAGCTTGGAGAAGTAAGGTGCGTGTTACATCAAGCAAATGACGATTCTTACGTTCTGTCATGCCATTTTGTTGAGGGGTATTGGGACAAGACCGTTGAGACAAGATGCCTTTTTGCTGAAGGTATTCCCGAAACTCATGAGACATGTACTCACCGTCAGAGTCGGATCGAAAAATTTTAACACTTGCTTGAAATTGAGTTTCAACATATGTCAAATATTTTTTAAATATAGAAAACACTTCAGATTTAGAACGGAGAAAATATATCCAAGTAAAACGACTATAATCGTCAATAAATGTGACAAAATATTTATAGTGAGCATGAGAAACCACAGGATACATTCCCCATACATCACTATGAATCATCTCAAAACAAGTGGAAGCACGATTAGCTCCAGACGGAAAAGGAAGTGTTTTACTTTTAGCCAATTTGCACACAGAACAGGAAACAAAGGCATCAGGAATAACATTTTTATTTTCCAACAAACCACTTTTACATAAATGAGACAAAACAAAAGAGTTTGGATGACCCATTTTTCTATGTCAATCCTCATAGGAATTCAAAACACTATGACAAGCAAGAGACAAATGATTAGAAATAAATTGTATTGGAAACAATCTTCCCACTTTAGGCCCCTTCGCGATCACTTTCCCCAAAACCTGCTCCTGCACAAGACAACCAGACCGAGAAAAATTAACATTACAATTATTGTCCACCAATTAACCAACAAACAATAAATTAGAAGCAAGTCCAGGTGAGACAAGTACATTCTAAAAATCCGAGTTTATGTCCCCAACATTACCATTGGCAATCTGAATTTTCTGATTACCATGATAAGAATGTAAATTGTGCAAGTTTTCAGATGAACCTGTCATGTGATTGGATGCACCAGAATCAAGAAACCATTGACGAGAAACATGAAAAGACTTACCCTTAATACCCAAGGCTGAAAGGGCAGAAAGTACCATATGTTGAATCATTTCAGGTTGTAGAGCATTGTCATCTGATGCACCAGTGGTGGAAGAGCCAATTGTATGGCCTGTAGTGGCATGAAATGCCTTCACCGAATGATGTGCTGGTCGTGGAGGACGTGTGGGACAGTCAGAGATGATATGACCTTGTTGTTTGCAATAATTACAAAACTTCTTACTGCAGCTACGAGCAATATGTCCAAACTGTTTGCAAGAAAAACATTGGACATGTTGCATATCACGGCCTTTATTTATACTTTGAGCAGCATATGCAACTCCCACAGGCTCAGAACTGACAGTATCATGAGACATGGTTCCTTGAGTAAGGAGACGTTGTTCCTCCCTGAGAAGTTCACCAACACATGTACTCAAAAGAAGGAACAGATTCCTATTTAGCAAAGCACCTCTGACAACCTCAAATTCTAGATGAAGCTTCATGATAAATTGATCTCGCTTACTTGTGTTGTAGACCTCTTGAACAGCCGCAAGAGAGGTCTTGGGAACATTAGTATGTATAATAGCAGAGTGTTCTGCCCAAAGATTCAAAAAACCAGAATAGTATTATTGAATAGACAAATCACCTTGTTTGTAGTTGGCGATGTCTAACTCCAACTGAAAACGTTTTGCCGAATTGTCCTGGTTGTAAATGTGCTTCAGATGGTTCCACATTTCTTGAGTAGTTGAAAAAGAATGCAAATTATTTATCATCTGAGGATCAATATTGTTTAGAATCCAAGTGATAATTTGAGCATCTTTAGTTTCCCGTGCATCTAAAGCAGTTTTCTCCGTTGGTGCCTTAGAAACATCATCTAAGTGACTTCATAATCCCTTTCCTTTAACATACATCTTGAACTGAAATTCCCATGCCGAATAATTCTTGCCGGTAAAACGAACACAAAAATTATTTCTTTCTTTTTCGGAAGTCATCTAAATTATTAAGCCACCAGATGCAATCTCACTAATATTATTTTATTATTATTATAATAATTATTATTATTATAATATAATAACAGTAAGTGTAATCACAATCACGAGAGAGCAGTAAGGGTTATCTCAATTACGAGAGCAGCAACAAGAAACAACACCCGCGAACCAACGAACAACAGCACGAACAAATCCACGATTTGGAAGGAGTGGCAAAACAGAAGATTATGACGATCCAGAATCACGAAGCAACAACAGCCAAGAATCAAATTGATTGCAATATCAGCGCAACAACGAGAATCTCCAAGACGAAATCATGAACCGGCAACC